TTCACTATCCGCCATCTGTGGACGCGCCGGTTAGCCAGCAACAAGGCCAACGGGCAACTCGCATTTCCAATGCAATCGGAGGAGCCATAACTGTTTCAGTTCCTGCTGGGTCAAATTTACCTGATGGAAGGAGTCGTCTCGTTTTTCCATCCAATGCGTCTGCAAACACCATAGAATGGTAGAATAACTGTTGTTATTAATAGTCGTCGACTGTTGACATTTGTACATGTGTCCAGGAGAAAATCAACGAAGCGAATTTATATATATGAAAATCTGCTCTCAACTCTATTAGGTACTTAACGATATTTTATAAAAAAGATATGACAACAAAATTAAAAAGGGCAGAAAGGATTTCCTTGACGTGGTGACAGTAGTGCGAAAAGGCGTATTTCTTCTTTATGCCTCTAGGTCAAAAACACCAAAGTGGAAGAACTAGAGAGCCAGCTTCAAGAACGCCTACGGCAATTAGAAGAACTGAGGGAGACGGTTCGTATGAGCGATACTGAAAAGGCAGAAATTGAAAAATCGGCGCGTGAGAATTTGGCGTCGGTTGCCAGCAAGGAGGCCGAGAATGCGCAGTTGACGGAAAGGTTGCAGTTGGCGGACGCGGAGCGAATGGCCGCCATCAAGCGCAATGATGAGATTCGAGCTGAACTGCTCTACGCTATGGAGCAGCAACAACAGGAGATGGACAAGTTGCTTAGACTGAAAGACAGAGAACTCGAGAACCTGCGCTCAACCCTTGCCACACAGCAAAATGATTCTGAGAAAAATGTCAAGAAAACGGTAGGGAATTTTTTATTCTTTATTGTTTGATTTGCTACAGGAGAAGAAGATTGCTGAGAGTGGAACTCAGATTGAAAAGCTAACCAAACAACTGAGGGAATGTACTCAAGAAAAGGTAATGATCTCCTCTCAACAGTTCGTTAGCAGTTAGTTACTTAGAGCAGTGGTTGTAATTTTCAAATGTAAAACCCTTCGCGAGTAAGAAAACAATACACTAACTCGGTGACTGTTTTTTCGTCTCAAAGCCACCCAGCCAATCTGCGTTTTACATCAGACTCCAATGCAGATGCGAAGTTTGCTTTATGGTCAAAAATAAGTTTTAAAACAATAGTACTAATCCAGAATTGTTTTATAAATTCTGAGGCTTCATGGGTATTGGACGCCAGAAAGAGCCTCTTGGTATTTTTTTTATTTTGAGTTCGAGCTTAAGGCACGCTAGGAGTAGCAAATAGGAGCCAATGATTTGCCAATTATAATTGCTGTTTAATCTCAGGAACCCTAAAGTAGGATAATTGTAGAGAAGAGGAAGACGATAGTTTTATTCTGAGCTTTCGGCTCAGAATAAAACTATCGTTCCAGAGATCGCGTCTTCCTCTTCTCTACAACGAGAACCTGGGGCACGCATATTCGCTTCTATTAGTAGAAGAATTGTTTGGTACTTCCTGTCAAGCAACCCTAACTAGAGCAAAAAACAGTGCGCTTTTGCTCCGGATTACACAAAGGTGTCTTTGTAGGCTGAGAGAAGAACCAGCTCTGACTTAGCTTCTATAATAGTCCAAGAAATTGCGGTATCAACTTGAAGTTTACCTTCTTCTAACACCTATCAATTCTGCATCTTGAAGTCTGTCACGTCTACTGAATGATACTTTTACGCGTAATAAAAATTTACGCCGTCAACAACCCGTCAGACTATGGATTAAAGTCAAAAGACCACAGCTAAGTAAAAGTAGTCTAACTACCGTTTTCTCTACCTGTGCTTGGCCGTTAAACAGCCTTCCTGCCATCCACCCACCTCAGTTTTCGATACTTAGTACCTCATGAATTGTGATAGCATGTGCTAGGTTCAAGCTAAAACAATAAGCCTGTGAGTGACAGCAGGTTTTTGTGCTTCTTCCTTGGAATACGGTTAATGAATTCCCACTAGCCCAAAACGTAGAACAGTTTTTTTAGGGAATCTGTGAAAATTGGAAGTAGTATCCAATCCACATTAATACATGACGCTTATCTTGTCCAGGTTCATAGTCTTATGAATTTGAAGGCTGTGGCGTCTGAGTATTGGTTCTACTCAGAACACCACAACTGTTTCGTCTCTTGACTTCTCCGACTGTATCCAGCAGCCACGCGTACGCC